AGTAAGGATGTTTGTGCCAATTAATTAGATTTAGACATTATTTTTGCAGAAGGCAGAGTACAGTCGACTATTTCTGATAAAAGATGGGAATTTAATTTTCCCATCCTTGGTCTACCCATCCCTAATAGTGTTATTCTGTATATAATGTCAAATGGTATTATTATGTCTCAGTTAAAAAGGTTTTAAAAAGTCTGCAACAATGGACAATGTTTATTCATAAACAAACTGAAAAATAATGGATATAAAGACAGGCAATTAAATATATTCTTTACACTTTTTTCTAATGAATATGAAAATATTAAAAAAAAATAAACTTTTGATTATGGAAAATACCTTCTGGAGACATTAGAGGCCATTAGTTACTGAGATTTATAAGTAGTTAACTTTATAAATATAATTCAACTAGCCAGGCTTCTCTCGGCTTTCCTGTGTTACACTTGAATAAATCTTCGAGAGAAAGAGAGGAGGTTGTGTATGTAAGAACTATTGAGGAAGGATTTGTAGTTCTCCTTAAGATCATTTAGTTTCATTTAATATCTTTTTGCAAGAATGGATGTTGGGAGTTTCACATAGTAAATATTTTAGGGTAGTTTCATTTCTACTTTTAAGAACTCTAAGGGTAACTGCCTTCCTACAATTGGCTACAGACAGTGAAAGGCAGTAGGAGTTGAGATGTTGTGGGTATAAGCACTTGGCTCCATACCCTTAATTGATTTTCCATGATAGCTGACTGGTTTATCAGAAGTGTTTGGATTTTGTCTGATAGATGGGATATCTCTAATGAATTTGAGTGCTATTACCACAGGCATTATCCATTATGACATCAAGTTCACAACTAGAACTGACAGTGGCAATTCTACCAATGCTTACTTATATATATATTACTGTTCATTCTTGACTGTACATCCATAGACCATCATGGAAAAAGCCAGGACTGGTAGAGTGTCTACCTGCTTCCCTGGCTTCTGCATTTTCAAATTAGTTTTTGCAATAATCCTTTGCACTTTTTCCAGTAAAAGACCTTTGAGGCAGTTAAGTCTGATCAGGTCTGCATACATCTCTGCTGTCTCTCTAATTTGAATTCCGCTTTCCCTAGTTGTCAAGTGGGGCATGGGAGACACCAGTTTATAGCCACCGGAGTGATTGATTTGGAGAATTCTTCACTGGTTTGTGATTCCTCCGGTGAAAGTCCGAGTGGGAAGTAGAAAGGGGTGTTCATGTCAGTGTAGTGCAAGTTACCCCATATTATATAATATGCCCATTTCTTGGTGGTTTTACCAGCTGGATGGGGCAAAGTGTACTTTTTCTATAACAGGAAGGATCTTTCATCCTCATTTCTGAAATATATTGTGAGCAAATGATACAACAGAACACACACTTAACTGTACACTCTGATCATTGCCCTAGCCACACTACATCTCCTGTTTGATCAACCTGTTAAGTGCAAATGCTTGGTTGGTCATGCACTTTTCTGTCTATCTTTCTGACACATTGGCTTTGCCTTCCTCCTTTCATACTTCTATCTAGGCAAAGAGTGTACCCTACATGTAATGAACTCTTCCATCATAGTTGCCTCTCTGGTAAGCCTACACTGTAGGGTTTAACACTCCATGGGTTTTCCCCTTCAGTTATCTTCTCTGAAGGGAGCTCATCTAGGTTTTTACAATTGCACCAGTCCCTCCACTACATCAATGTGGTATTGTGTGCAGTGGGGTAAATATGATGCAGTATGTGGGCCCATAGGTTGTGTAGAGTATAGAAAAGTTGGTTATTTGAAGGTAACTGATTTTTGTTGCAAAATTAATAGTTTCTGTGATTTCTTCAGGCCTTTTCATGAGCCAAATTTTTGGCCCATTTCAAATTCCAAAAGGCTCCTAAATTTAATACTTTGATAATTTTTTTCTCAGTTTGTAGCATAAACTGACATTGAAGTTATTAACTTGCATATGTTGTCTAAAAAAATGAATATATAAGAATTTCCATTACAAGATTATTTTAGTCCAGAGAAACTTTGTTGAATGGACAACTTGAATTTTTGCACATTAGGTCTTAAGTTATTTCCTAACTTGAAGAAACCATAGATCTACATAAAACTATGATTCTAGTGGTTTACTTCTTTGGTTTATATGTTGTTGCAATACGTTTTTTTCATTTTTTTCAAGTTTTAAAGAAAGATCATTTTAAATTTTAAATGCACTGAAATTGTTTAAATATCTTTTCCCAAAATTTGGAAACAAATTATGAATTGTGTTTAATATGTGTTTCTAATGTATTCCAGGAATTTTAGGATTAAATTGACCATTGTTTCATAGTTTAATTTTTTCCAACTGAGTTATTGCTCTGGTAAAAAGTTTGGAATTTTTATATAAAGTCAGATCATTAAATTATGTTATTGGTTTCAAACTTGCAGAGATGAATATGAAGAAGAACTGAAGCATCAGCAGGAAACCATGCGCCTCCTGAAACAACAGTTAAGGCAGTTTCATGAAAATGAATTATCCCAAGTTAAACAAGAAAAGTCTTTAATAGAAGAAGAATTAATTAGTGCCAAAAAGAAGGTAAGCCTTTACAACAGCATTGATTACTAAATGAAGGAATAGGCTTGGAAAATATTTTGTTGGTAGTCTACTTTAGAAATGGTTTTAGTAGTCTTTTAAATATCTGTGTTCATTTATAGAGGACTAACGACCAAAGAAATTGATATGAAACCTCATCATATATTGTAGAAAGCAAGAAACGTTAATGACAAAGCTTGAAAAAACCATACAAACATTGTCAAATTACACTGCTTGAAATGCTATCTGACAACCTTCAGATGCTTAGAACTGTCTTCAAATTACTGTTTAGCAATTGAACCTTCAAAAACAGGCATAGGAATTTTCCACATTAAAGATAGAAAACCAGCTCTCAACAAAAACTCGGGTATAGAAACTAGGAACTCATAGATTCAACTGTTCAAAAACAGCCAGTAAGATTTGATCATTCACTAACCTGTGAATCAATCACACTTCAGGATCCAAACACCAATTAGGAACACATATATATATACACTGTAGAGCCCAACATCTCAGTTGCATTTCCATGTTTTATACACAATACATTGGAATAGTCACAGGACCTGATAATGACAAACTCCATGTAGAATTATACATGGACTTTTCTCTATGTTAAAATACTTTTGTTTGCGAGCTTTCAGCCCTCTTACCAGAGCCTTCATTGGGCAACAATGTACTCAGTAATACAAATTTGTTTATCTATGGAAAACTGCTTTAAAATAGGTATCTAGGCAACAATTGTAACAATAACTGACATCTAGTATTAAAGTTATTAATCATATAGAAATTATGATGAATATAGAAATAAGTCGATTACTTAAATATAATAAATGTAAGGAAAATACAATTTAGTTATTATATAGTGAAATGAAAATAAACTTTTCATACTTCAAATAATAACTCTACAAATAATATTTTTTTATGTCTGATAAGTAGTATTCATGCAGTATTGAGTACTTGTTGGCTGTTGTTTTCATTAATACCCAATGGTGGTCCACTGTCTGGTGCTTGGATGGAAGTAGTTTCTTCCATTTTAACCATTCAAGTTCAACCATTTGTGCTTTGGAGTGAGTTAGCAGTTAAAACTCTGCACTTTTCAGTCTGGCTTCAGCACTATGTCTTCACAATTGTTATCAGACCTTTAGCTATCAGTATTGATTGTCATAGATGATTAATGGATTCTTGCTCAATGGTTGCTTTGCACTGAAATCTTTCTTTCTCAATGAAACTTGTGTGAACCTTATGAAAGTTCCCTCTTTATTTCTGGTCAGAGCAGTGTGTTTCTATTTTGCCAAAAGTGGATCTTTTCAAGAGGATGGACATCACTTAATATACCTTATGATGATTTTCATTCCATGGTTTTTGTTCTATCCACATTAATGAATTGGCTTGTGCAACTTATCATTGTCATTTATCCTGATGTTCTTGACTATCTTAATTGTGAGTTTGAGGTTACACCTATCTTTTCATCTTACAGTTTTCATATTTCATTTCATAACCTAGAATCTCCTAAATGAATATTATATACTCACTCATTAACTCCATTTTGGGTGACTTTTTCACCTGGACTGTTGGTGGTCATCTCAGATTTCCAAAACATACATACCCTCTACTGACACTTTAGCTATTCCTCGACATTGGCTTTGTATATCTAAGCATTGGTCTTACATGCTCCAGTCTCTTATACCTCACTTGTATGCCCTTTGCAATATCTAATTTTCAAATTCCTCCACCTGTGTCAATGCACCTCTATCTTGACACTGTTTCTAAGTGCCTCATTCAGATAATGTAATCACTTTTTCTTGACAAAGTGTTGATCACAGTTTTGTTTAACAAGGTTCTGTGGTTTGTTCTGTTATAGATTGCGATTTTTGTGTCGTCTTGTGGGTTTCCATATAATTATAATTTCCTTCACTACTGACAGGGCTCAAAATTAGCTGGGCCCGGGAGCCAGTGCCCCCCCCCCCCTAAATGCTGGAAGGCCCGTAAAAAGTGTTTGCTAGGTAGCCCATGTGGACCCTTAAAATCAAAAGAGCCATTAAATTGATCTAAGCATTTCTTAATTGAGCAGAACTTATAACAAATTGTGAACAAACTATGATGACTCGTCAGTCATATAATCCATGAATATCATCACTATTAGTGCTTGTACAATGACTGTTTAGCTTGAAGACATGTGCTAGCTGCACTTGTGTATGATGCATACAGCATGTATAGCCTATCATGCCTAACAAGCAGTGTGTGTTTGTGGATGTATTGTGTATGCAGATCAAGCAATGTGTGTTCAAGATGATGTATTCCAGACAGTTCATATGCCAAGGCTGTTGCAGCTAAGGTACCCACACTTAATTGAGCTACCCTAAAGGACCCTTGCTAGTAAGTGGCAAAGCAGTGAATAAAGCTACTTGCTGATCTATTGGGATATTGCAATCTGGGGGTCCACGGCAAAGAAGGAAAGCAAAACTCCTTGGTTGGTATTTTGGTTTGAAAACTTTCAGTTCCAGAAGGGGCCTGAAGGGTAACCAGGGTGAGCAGAAACTGTAATTTCTATTTGTCCCACTTGTGAAAACTTTGGTTCTACAAATTATTTTCTAAATCTGGATTCTAAACTGACTGGATACATATTTCTTGTAATTCTAAATTATTATCTTCCTGCCTTGTAGCTTGTGGTTTTATATTTTTGTTTTGTTTTCACGTTCATTGGTTCCAACCTCCTTTACAATGTGGGTATTGTGACTTTCAGTATTTCAGAGATAAATCTACCAGTTTGATTTGATATTTTTTAGAGTTAAAATGAATTTCAAACAGGTACTTAAATGTGAAATACCTTCCTTCCCTCCTACTCATAATCGTAGATTTTATCATGACTTTCAATAAAATCTAAGTTATGGCAGGAAAGCAGAGCTAATGTAAGATTCCCTGACACTTGCACGATAACTTATGTGCAAGGAGGAAGAGTGAAGAATTATGGGTAAGTGACAGATGTTCTGCAATACTTAAAGAATATTTATAAAATTATGTCACAGATTTTGTTGACAGCATCAATTCAAGCTCAACAAGGAAAGGTTTTTCATTATATCATTGGTAAGTACTTGTTTGAAATTCTTTTTAATTCATAAAAACTGTAACATTTGGGTAAATGGTTTATTTGAAAGTATATTCCAGTATGAGGTAAAGAAGAGGCAATTGGACATAGCATATAATGTTTAAAAAGATAAAATTAACAAGATGAATATTTTACCATTTGTCACAATATGATTTATGTGCAAAGCACATGATTTTCCAGTTCTAGATATGGTCTTTCATGAAATAAGCCCCAGGTGCCAGAGAAGTGAATTTTTGGAAATCCATTCTGTAGAGGACTCTGTACACATGAGAATTATATATGTACAATTACTTGTATAAAAATTAAACTTCCTGTTTCTTCTGGTCTCCTGAAGATGGTGGAATTATTTTACACAGATACATGTAGAGTTTTTAATTGTTTATTTTGCTTTTAACTTCATAGAATAAATTATTGTGCATTTTTAAGCATTTGACATTAATATCAACTTTCTATTCAAAAATCATTTTATGTTTAACAATTTCCAGAGATTCTTTTATGTTTAATTCATATTTCAGCTTAACTTCTCTAAGTATTTGAACCTTATCCTATTCAGTGTTATGCAAAGCATTTTGCCACATGTTCTGCCAAGGCTGGTTCAGTAGTTTTTAACTTTTCTACAGCATTTTTGTGTTCATTAATTCGAAACTTCAAATTCCTATTTGTTTGTCCAATATAATTCAAGCCACAACTGCAAGAGATTTTATATACTCCACATTTATCTTTTAATTCAATTTTGTCTTTAATACCATTCAGGATATTTGTTAGTTTTAACTGAAGAGTAAAGGCTAATAGAAAAATTTGTGTTTTTTATGAACACATTACCTATTTTTTATGACAGTGCTGGAACATATGGCAAAGATACTTTCTTTATTATCAACCATACTTATTATCTAATAATGGCTGGAGACGGCTTGAATGGGTAATGAAGAAAAACTTTAATATAAGTTTAACATAACAGCAAACAGCTGATGATGACAAAACCTTGTACATTTGCTGTTATGTTAAACTTATATTAAAGTTTTTCTTCATTACCCATTCAAGCCGTCTCCAGCCATTATTAGTCTCAAAGTGGGTTCCTCGTCATCGAATACTTATTATCTGTAGTCTGGTATATTCTGAAATTTGTAATTTATTACAGTGTTTTCCATAAATCTTATCTATAATATATAGATCATATCCTCTATCAATAACTATATAGATTTTAAATAATTCAGTTCAAAGATAAGATCTTCATTATACGAAGATACCTTTAATGGCTATATGAACAAATGATAAAAAAGAAGACATTGTTTGTGACAACTGGTGACACAATCTTGGATGTGATGGCATGGCAACTGAGAATGGTTCCTGTATACCTAAGTAAACAGAAAACCACTCTTTTTGTATCGAAACATCCAAAAAAATTCAAACAGCCCCATTCTTCCACTTCTATTTTGACTCTCCTAAATATTACAGCTTTTAGACATGGAGCCAAAATAAGGATTTGAAGCTTGAGGAAATAATGTCAACACTACGTCTCAAACCTTAAGTTTATTTGTTTACTTTTTATCCAGTTGCATTTTTACTTTAAGTTACCTATCTTGTTTCTGTAATTTTTTGAAGATATCTATTCTTCCTTTGTATATTAACAATTTTTAATAATCTTGGTATCTAGTTAGACTTTATGCTTTAGTTTGGTGGTGGTAAATCAAACCATTAATTGCTTGACCACAACAACACAAAGTGATGTGAAGCTTTGTACTCATGGTTAAAAACCATTATGAGTGAGGATAAACAGGGATGGCTCATCTCTTGGATAGCCCAGTTGGACAGAGCATTGGCCCTATTAGCCAAAGGCCCTGGGTTCAAGCCCCAGTTCCAGAGTTTCTTTTTACTTAATGGCTTTTTTGCTTAAATATTGTTTCTTGGAAAGTTTACTTTTATTGATTCACAATACATTTATTGATCTTTGAGTTACAGATGAAAATAAAACCACATAATACAATATTTAGAGAAACAGCATGTAGAATTGGTGCTTAAGGTTCAGATACTTAATGAGTTAGTGAATTTGAGACAAAACTCAATACTCAGATTCTGTAGCTGACATCATAAATCATCTACTTACCATATATTCAATAAGATATAGAAATATTTTTAATAAGTAAAAAAGAATCTAAAGACACGTAGAAAGCCCCTTTATCTAAAAATATTAAACTAGCTGCTTAGAAAAAAAGTAATAAAGACAACAGTGAATAGTTGAAAGTGTTGAGCATTTCATTTAAGATTACAAGATATTTCCTTAGAACAGTTTCAACATAGACTTGTTCTTATAATTATCCCAACTAAATATTTTTTATTTGGTTAAACTTAAAATTGAAATACTGAGAAATTATGAGTTATTTAAGCATATCAAGAGACATTAGAACACCCAATTTGGAGTATACTTTTATAAAGAAACATTGGGAAGAATTTTCATTATGGATAAATATTTATGTAAAAATTTTCATTAAATATAAGTTTAAAAAAATGTTTTTATTATGAATATGTACAAGGTTAGATAAAAAAAATCAAATAAAAAAGAAATTTTGGAAGCTAAATGACTGTTAATTGCAATAATAACAATCTTTTTTCATAACTTTAAACACAAGATGTCTAGTACATTATGAAAATCATTGGTTTTTTAATAGTAGTATAAACCAAACTTTGCTCAGTTATACTGATTTTTAAGTGTTGTATTTTAACCTATTGAGTTTTTAGGGTGATGGTGTAAATTCCAAGATTTGAGGCATGTCTAATTGCATGATAGCAGAAACCAGTAATAATCATTTTGCTAAAAAATAAATATTTGGTCCCTATAGATAGAAGCTCTAGTTCATCAGTTGGCCAAAAGTGAAGATCGTGGAGAAGAAACAGAATTATTATGGATAAGGAATATTTTGGCAAGTATAGGTTGAAACATTATTTACCATTGCAATTTTGGGAAGAAAATAAATTAACTTGACATACTTTTTGGAGCTATACTGTTGTACAAGAGATGTACTCTAATATAACATATTTACCTTGTATCACTTGATCTTTTTATTAATCAGGTCTGTTTTATCGTATGGCCAAAAGAGGTAGTTGATCAGGGTCCACCACACACTGCGAATATAATAAAAAATTATAAAATATGAATTGTATAATAAAGTTATAAGAATAAATCAGTTTTTAAAAGAAATATACAATTTGTTTTTTTATTTCATTAATTTTTTGATTACTAATAAATTCATTTTATCAAATTGTCTGGTATTTTCTTAGAAGCAAGGGTAGACCCACTAGTTTATACCTTGCCCAGGGCTCACCAGTGCCTTAACATGACACTGTTACAAGTATATCCAGATATATCAATAAAAATGCTCAATCAGGATAATTGTTTAGTTAGCCACCAGGTGATTGTGCTGCAGTTGTTTTTTAGATAAATAAGATAGATTGGTGAAAACAAATTGCCCTCCTACCATGGTTAATTTTAATTTTAAGCACTTGCTTGTGTGAGACCCAACAAATTTGAGAAAAACTCCAAATTTTAAGGAATACCCTAGTACCAGCAAGGGTATTTTAAAAAAGTGGGTCCCAGAGTGGTTATAGAAACAATATATTAACTATTGATTTGTATGTGCTTCCATGGGTACCCTAGTACCAGCAAGGGTATTTTAAAAAAGTGGGTCCCAGAGTGGTTATAGAAACAATATATTAACTATTGATTTGTATGTGCTTCCATGGGTACCCTAGTACCTAGCAAGGTATTTAAAAGTGGTCCAGTAGTTGGTACTAGAAACATATATTAACTATTGATTTGTATGTGACCTTAACCAGTTAGGTACCCTAGTTTAAC